AATTAAAAAAAAAAAAAAAAGTTGTGATGTTTGTTTAGTCACCCACTTATTCCCTAAAATGTGCTATTTTTTCTCTTTGAGCCCCCATAGTTACTTGAAAGAACAGAAGATAGTATGAAAAAGCAGCTGAGAGGCACTAGTTAGGTCAGATCTCTTTCCTTGTGAGATGGAGTGCTGTGAAGATTCTGTGAAATTAAGTTTTTGGGGTAAGCAAGCAGCAGCTTGTCAGTAAGCAGTCAATTATAATGGGAGAGCTTGTAGAGAAGATGAAGGCAAATCACAGTGGACATAGAACTCGGATTTGGTGAATCAAAGATATTAGAACACTACACAATATTCACATGATTATTCTTAAAGTCATTCTTATAATTCATTCTCATAGTTAATATGGACATTGAGAATGCCCCTTCTACTAAAATTAACTTGAAGCTGAGTAATTCAACTATAGGATATGTACATTTCTGTTTGGATCCTTCCTCTAAAAGATTTCCCAGGATATATCTTTTGATGGCAATCTTTATTGGTTTTTTCTCTCTCACAGTTGTGTATGCTGAGCTGTCACCTAATCCTGGACATTGGCATTAAAAAATTATTATTTCTCATACAGTTATCATTTCTCTTTGAACCTGCTTACACTTTGATGACCTTCTCATCATACAAGCTGGAGTCTTAGCATATCTTCTAACAATTTTGCTTACTAAACACATGCCTGTGGTTACCAAGTGAGATATTTGCCATTCCTTAATGATAATTCCCAGACCTCTATATATTCCAAATTCCCTTGCCTATATTACTATGATATTCAGTTATGACCCAAAGTATTTATTTTGTTATAAAAATCATCTTTTTTACCTGGAATTTTACATAAAAAGATATATAATAATTGTATTTGGAAATCAACTATAATTCAACCCCATAATCTTCAATTATTACTACAGTGTAGTCACCACTGACTCATGGTATCTCTCACTCACAGGCGTTACAACAAATAGATCCATATAACAGTACTTTCCCTGACTCTACCTCTGTTTTAAGTCTGCTTTTGTGTAATTTGTTGAGCAGGTGAAGGAGGGTATGTGATTCCCGAGTTAAGCTGTATCTGCTTTCACAGCAGGATTGTGATGGGTTTTCCCCCTACCAAGCAGTAATTATTTTTTGGTCCCTTCCTTTTCTAATTATACCTTCCCGAGCCGCACCCACCCACGCAGTGCTGCTGAAGCTACTCCCTGCAGCAGGTGTCAGGAAAGGAGAGGAATAATTTTGCTGCTTCTGATTTATCAGAGAGCTCTGTGACGCCCACCCTACCTCTTTATTTACTTTACTTTTTTTTAAAGCTCCTAGACTCTCTAATCTTGTAGCCAAAGAATTTAATATTTAATAAGTATCTAAATAAATAAGGCTCCAGGAATCCTTCTTGACCATAGACTAATAGGTTTTGGAATACACATAAATGTGTTTCTTACATTTTCTTCTGAACAGGTTTAATCTGGCTATAAAATAGGAGCAGTTTGCTTTAGGAATTTTACCTAAGGGGGTCAGTTAAAAGTCTCGTGATCTTCAAAGTTTTGATTGTTCAGTTTTAGAAATAACCCCTAAATAGTGAGTTGGGTTCCTTTTAGCAGCTGGGTTTCTGGGCTGATTCTTAAGGTCACCAGTGTCCTTGTTCCAAGTCCAGTTCTCAATCTCCTTTTGACACATTTGATAGTTGATTCCCTCTCCCTCCCAAAAAACTTCTTTTCCCTTAGCTGCTGGGGGGTGCTACTTACTCTCTCTTGGATGTCTTCCTGACTCACTGGCTGATATTTCTCCATTTGATTTTCTCATCTCTTCTTATCTACAAGTTCAAAATTCATTTATATCCTATAACACCCAAATCTAGAAATTTCTAAATTTTTTTATAACTTATTTGGAGCAAGACCTTACTTGACTCAAACTCATTTGATGGCAAAACCTGACCTGAAATAGTATGAGGCTGTTTATAGTTTTTAGCCCACCTTAGAGTGAATATTCATATTTTTTGCCACCAAAATGTTTCTTCCCAATGTCTCACTGGGAATGTTACATAATATATTATTTTCCCCAAATCTGAAATGTTCTGAATTCTGAAACATACCTTGATCCCAAGGAGTTTGAATAACAGTGTAGACTCATTCATTCAATGTCTTGGTGATCTCTTTAGTCTCATGATTTCTAATTTAATCTTTATGTTAATGACTCTTGAATGTTTATCTGTAGTCCAGACCTCCCTTCTGAACTCCAGACTTACACACTCAGCTGCCTACTTGGCATCTCTACTTGGATTTCCAGGGGGCAGCTCAGAGTCATCACATATAGATCCCATCCTTCTCATCCAGTCTCTTCCCCCTGCCATCTTTATCATCTCCTTTAATGACAGATCTGTCCTTCAGTTGGTTAGACCATGCGCTTGAGAATTGTCATTGACACTCTCTAACACTCCACATCCAAGTCTAGCAGCAAATCCTGTTGGCTCTTACCTTCAAAGTAGATCAGGAATCAGACCACTTCTCACCACCACCTCTGCCAACTCCTTGGTCCATCTCTCACCTGACTTATCTCAGTGGTCTCAAACAGTTCTCCCAGATTCTTATCTTGCCCCTATAGCCTGTTTTCAACAGAGTGGTCCTTTTACAAACATGGGTCAAATCATGTCACTACTCTCCTCAAAACTCTTAAAAGGCTTCCTCTCACGCTCAGCGTAAAGAGCCACTGCCTTTGCTATTGGATACGGAGCCGTACGTGACCAGGCCCTCCTGCTTCCTCCCTCGCCCTCTCTCCTCCTCCTCTTGCCCCTAGACCACTCTGCTCCGGCCACTCTGCCCACCTTGCTGTTTCTCCTTCCCTCCCAGATGCAGCATTTGCTTGCAGGTCTAGGCTGATGTCACCTTATTAGTGAGACCTTTCTGAGCATCCTCTTCAGTCACTTCCCTGCTTTATTTTTCACCTCTTAGCATTTACCACCATCCAACATACTTTATATTCAGCTTTCCTATTTCTCTCTCTCGCAAACTGTAAGCTCCTCTACTCTGTTTCTTCACAGGAGGTGGTTCTCAGTCCCTAGGACATTGACTGTGTATGGTCAGTGCTTAGTTACTATTTGTTGGACGAAGACATAGCCTCTTATTTGACCTGCCACTCATACTGGGCATAAAACATAAGACACATCTTTGTTTTCATGAACTTATCAAGTGAAAGCGTCGGAGACATTTATAAATAAGTAGAGTTCCAATTCAATTCAAACTGTGGTAGATGCTGTAAATAGAGATATGCACGTGTCATTTTGACATAAGTTGGAGACACCATTAGCCTCTTGGGGAAGTTAGGGATATTTGAGTCCATTCTTGAAGAGAGAGATTTTTTACAAAGCTGAACAGAGGTGAAGGGGCATTTAAGGTAGCGAGAACCTTAAGGTACACAATGTTTTCATTTATGTTTGGGGAACTGAGAGTGGCTGTGTGCTGCTGGACTGGAGGTGTGAGGAAGTGGCTTGGCTCAAACTGAAGGGCCTTCTCATCGTACTGAAGAGTGAATGCTATCCTTTGAGTATTGATGAGCTCCCAGAAGTTTTAAAGTAGAGAAAGGATATGATCGGAGCTATGCTTTAGGAATATTTCTCAGGAAACGCTTAGGTGATGTTTTAGAGGTAGAAGTATTATACAGGTTCAGGCCTCAGGTGAAAAAAACTTGAATTAAGACCTTGGTAGAGGCAAGGGGGAAAGAGATGGGAACAGATGAGTTATTAAGCAGTGGTATTGACAGTACTTGGATATGGGATGAGTGAATAAGCACTGTTATTGAGCAGTTGGATATGGGATAAGAAGGAGGGGAAATATTTGGGACGATGCTTCTGAGATTTCTAGCTGGGTGGCACCAGGATGGGTATTGGTGCTGAGAGGTCCAGGAAGGGAAATAGCTGTGGAGAGACGATGGGTAGGCCTTGAGTTAAGTTTGAGATACTCGTGCTACATCTAGGTGGAGAAGTCTGTCATTTGAAAATGTGTCTTCATCTTAGGAGAAGGGAAAGGAGGTAAAGAGAAAATATTTTGAATTTGCTTACAATTCACAATTCTGAAGGCAGAGGTATGGGTAAGGTTGCTCAGGGTGAGCTTGGGGGGTGAAGAAGAAATAAAATGAAGAAGAGAGAAGAGAGAAACCCGGAGAGTTACCATTGATGGAGTGGGCATAGGATAAACCGCCCATGGAGGAGATTTAAAGGCATTGCAGAAGGCGAAGGAGCTGGTCTCTAACACGCTTGCTTTCTCTCTCCCCCAGGAGGACATTCGGTGTCCCACATCCCTGTCTGTCGTCAAAGACAAAAACCTAAGTGAGACTCAAGAGGAAGATGATGAAGATGTCTTCGATCCCCCAATAGATCTGTCTTCGGATGAGGAATATTACGTTGAAGAAAGCAGATCCACCAGGCTCAGGAAGTCAGGCAAGGAGCACATCGATAATATCAAAAAGGCGTTTTCCAAAGAAAACATGCAGAAGACACGGCAGAATTTTGACAAGGGAGTCAACAGAATTAGAACCAGAATAGTGACCCCAGAGAGGAGAGAGAGGCTCAGGCAGTCGGGGGAGAGGCTCAGGCAGTCGGGGGAGAGGCTGAAGCAGTCCGGGGAGAGATTTAAGAAATCTATTTCCAACGCAGCTCCCTCGAAGGAAGCTTTTAATTTGCATAGCCTTCGGAAAGCGAAAGGCCGACCGGTGGCCCAGGGTCCAGGAGAGGTCCGGGAGATGGGTGTGGACATCATCGCCGGGAGCCAGTCGCTGGGCCCCATCAATGAGCTCTACAGCGACGAGCTCAGTGGAACAGACCAGGAGGAGGCCAGGGTGGTGTATCCTCGCTGTGAAGAGGGGGACAACCCTGCCCCTGAGCCTTTAAAAGTTACTTTTAAACCCCAGGTGAAAGTAGATGATGACGAATCTCTTTTGGTAGATTTAAAGCAGTCTTCGTAGAGAGGAACTAAGTATATTTTAAGTCTAAATCACCTTAATCATGCAGTTCCAGTTTAAGTAGTATAGTCACTTAATATTTATTGGCCATTTAGGGAACAATAAATGACATGATTTTTATTTCTTATGTTTAAAATCTTAAAGGTAATACAAATATTACATATATACATTTCCTAGTAAGTTCCCTGGGGATTCTTTCTTTCTCCCCCTGGCTTATAAGATTCTAGCAGCGTCCTGTCGTGTCACTCTCACTGCAGCTGTGGATTCTTAAGTTCCTTTCTGTTGCCCACCAGAAAAATAGCTTCCTAGAGAGGGTCAGTTAGGTGTTTAGTAGTTTAAAACACCTAAGTGAAGGGCAGATATGTGGCCATCATTTGCATTTGCAAGTGTACCCTCAGTATTGGTCTAGATTTAATATGGCTGATCTCCAAGGGGATTATATCATCCATATGTTCAAGTCAACAGACTTGTTAGTAAGTTAGCAATCACACGTCTTTTTGATGCTTTTGCATAAAGAAAGGAGGTTCTGGACTTGAGCATTTGGTTCTGGCGTCACAGCTGTACTTACAGTGAGCACTTGGCACGTCGCCTGCTCACAAGCTCGTCAGTAAATTGGAGGAGGCTGGCCTGTCCTGCATCTCAGAGAGAACTGTCATGAACATCACAGGAAACGGTGTACATTCTGGGGGAACAAGAAACATATCCAGAGGAAACGAGCCCTGCTGATTTTGCAGACAGAATCCAATTAATTACACCTGACAAAGCCCTGAGCACCAAGCTGTGAGGACCTAGGTTGGACGGACACTGAAGTTGGTCTTCAGAAGCCTTTTCACAGAGTCGGGAATGAAAGATAAATGTTTGGGTGACATTTTTTTGTCAAAGACTAAAATGAAACCTTGGGTTTGAGTTGGATCTTGAAAGTATTCACAGGGGTTCATCGTAGCTGCTCTGGGAGGGAGCCAGACTCCACACTTAGCTTTAGACATAGCCAATCTGGAAGCCGATATTATTGCTAAAGAAAGACAGGAATGGTCTTACTGGTTCTGCACTGCTGGTAATGTTTAAATCTTCTGGTTTTGTAATAGGGGAGAGAGGGTGGAATTGTTGAATTTGAAGAGTTTGGGCAACAATCAGCTTTCAGATCAGTTCTGGATGCCCAGGTAGTAATTGTAATAAATGTACACACACAGGGACATGTGTGCACACCACAGACACCCAACAAACCAACTAGGATTTTTGACTCAGTTACCCAGGTGTTTGGGTTTGGGAGTTTGATTCAGCATCATTACTCTGCATGAACACATGAAATCATAAATTGTTCATCTTTTTCTATTGATAACTAACATGTATACAACACTGAGCAATCTTCGAGTAATTTAAAAAAGTGTTATCATTCAAAAAGAGCTTGGATGCCTAATCACATACTTCCTTAAAGCCATAATAAATTTGAATTTAAAAAAGACATGGTTACAAAGTTTGATGTCAGTGTCCTATTTGTAAATATCGTTACTAGTAATGAATGCAAACAGCATGGCGTGAATTTGATATAACAACTCTTCTTATTTATTGAGCACCTCCTATAAACCTGGTACAGTCAAGGCTCTGGGAATAGAAGAATTAGCAAGACAAAGTCCCTGCTCTCAGAGAGCTAGCATTCCAGAGAGAGACTAACAGTAAGCGAACATATCAGGTGGTGGTAAGTGTTATGAAGGAGGGTTAGGGGATTGGGCTGGATGGGTGGGTGGTGCAGGCTGGGTGCTATCTTAGAAAGGGTGTCCAGGAAGGCCTCTCTGAGAAGGTAGCCACAATATCCTGAATTTAATGAGTCAACCATGCAGGTGTTTCTGGGGGAAAATTTCCGTACGATCAGGGGACAGTGGCTGAAGGGGGTGAGGGTGGAAGAGTAGGAGGAGGGGCGTGTTACACGCTGTGGCCAAGACCTTGGTTTTTACTCTGAATGAGGACACTTTGGAGCTTGTTGAGCAAGTGACATGATCTAATCTATTGGTCTGATTATTTATACTCCTTGAAAAGTCAAACTACAGTGTTCACACAAAAAGCTAACTACAATTCCTGTCTTAGTTCCCACTGCAAAGGAAATCACTCCGACTCCGAATGTTTGCTCCTTAATGGCTTACTCCTGGGCCCAGGAAAACCCGTTGCGGCTCATGGCTGACATCTAGCGGATATTTTCCTAATTGTTTATAAACCTGCAGTTTGAACCGTACCAGCTCTTAAGAAGAGAGGGTGAACTTGAACATCACAGACAGGATGACAGAACAGTAACTGTTACTGGAATAGTATAGTGGATCTGCCTCCTTGCTTTTCTTTGACTCATATTGAAGTAAATTTGCATTTTTCTAGGATATATCCATTAGAACTGGCGAGGTTAGCTGCCAGAAGATTGAGCCATCAAAATGATGGGCTGGTAAGGGGAGGTTACGTCAGGACCCGGTGAGCTCAACCAGTAGCAAGTTCTTTGACTTTAGGGGTGGCCCTCAAAAGACAGCCTGTGGTCTGCTGTGTGGTGTCTGAGGGTGCATGGTGGGAGGAAGCTCAAGGCAGCGTGGATGTACTCAAACCCGGGAGAGGCTGGGCGCTTCCCCAAACCTGGGTGGCGTGTGACAGTGTAGCAGTCAAGAGCTGAGGCTTTACAGTTGGACCCCTGGCTCCGTGCCTCATTCGGCCATTTACTGACTGTGAGAACTTGGGCAAGTTGCACTCTCTGTTTCTCAGTTTCTAAATTAGTACCTACTTTGTAAAAATGTTTTATTAGGTCAGGTAATGGATGCAAAGCACTCAAGCTAGCATTTAGTCAGTAACAGGTACTGTTGTTCAGAGAAACCTCAAGTAGCCATTAGAGGCAGAGAAACAGGCTATTGTAGTAATAATAGAATCTGCATTAAAAACTTTTTTTTGCCCCCAGCATTTAACATTCACAGAGTTTAGTTTTTAACCATTTTGTATATCTCTATGATCCATTTAATGTGCATAGATTGGGGATAGTTGAATATTCTGTGTAACTAAGGTATATAATTTATACTCTATAGAGATTAAAATGGGTTAGTGGCTTTCATTACTTTTAGGGGAAAAGCCTCAGATATTTAGCTCTGCAGGATCTGGCTCCTGACTGCCTCATCAGTCATTGGTCTTCCCTCTTGGTTTCTGCATTCCAGACACTGGCCTTCTGCAGGTCCTCCAATCCCTTGTCCCACCTGTCTCAGGACTTTTGCACAGGCTGTTCCCTTAGCCTGCCCACACCTCTCCCACCCCACCCCAACAACCAAGCACCTGCTTGTAACACCCATTCATTCATCTTTCAGATTCCGGCTCAAATGACACTTCCTCAGGGAAGCTTTCCCCACCTCCACCCCACTCCCCGCTGGGCAAGCCTCCCTGGTTACATGATCTCGTAGCTTTCGGCACTTTTAATTTTTCTTCAGAACACTTATTATAGTTTGAAAGTGTATGTTTCGATGATTATTTGTCTGATTGACCCATTGTTCTGACCCTACCACAGTGCCTGGTGCATATAGACTTTCAGGTATTTTTTTTTTTAAATATGTTTTTATTGATTTCAGAGAGAGGAAGGAAGAGAGAGAGAGGGAAACATCAGTGATGAGAGAGTCATTGATCGGCTGCCTCCTGCACGCCTCCTAGCGGTGGTCAAGCCCGCAACCCCGGCTGTGTCCTGATGGGGATTTGATCTGGATCATAGTTGATGCTCATCTGCTGAGCCACATTGGCTGGGCAAAACTTCCAGGTATTTTTTGAACAGTAATGAGAGTAATCTGAAGAGAGATGGGTCTTATTTGAAATTTAAAATGCAGACATAGGGAAGACACTTAGTGACTGACTCTGAGTGGGAGGGTAAGGTGGGTTCCACGGTGTGATGTCCAGGGTTCCTCTTGCAGACGAGGCACTCGTCCCTCCAGGTGCTGGGAGTTTTGGATGCCCCTCAGCCTGGTCCTGCTACAGGAACTGCCCTCAGCAAAGAGATCTACCTCACCCAAGGACATGTCCCCTCCTGAGAAGAGCCCACCTGTAGGGTCCAGTTGATGGGAGAGTATGGGTCCTGCCCCTTGCCTCAGCGTGGGGCAATTCTGAAGGGCCATCCCAGTTCCAGATTGTCATAGGATTGGGTGGGGTCACTCTTGTAACTGAATCAACAGTACACCTACCCCCTGCTGCCATCCTTCCTCCCTCAGCCCTCGAAGGTGCTGTTCCTGAGAGCACCCACCCTCCATACGGGCCTCAGGGTCTCTCTTCTAGGGCCTGAGGGGGAGGGAGAAGTCTAAGGGAGCTCCTCAATTTCTGGCTTCCCCCAGAGGTAAAGAGGCCTGATCAGAGGGGCTGGAGCTGCCCTGTTAGATGCAGAAGTTGAGGGGTGTTGTCAGGGACTTCCTGAGGGAGAGGCAGGGAGGGAGGGAGCTCTGCAGAGGCTCCACAAGAAAAGGAGCGGCCCTGAAACCTGCCGCACCTGGAAGGCACTACTGTCCTCCAGGTTTCCTAGCTAGGAGCCAGAGAGTAATCCCCCGTGACCCCTGCGCCACGAGCCCCACGAGTGTTCTGCGGAGGCCCCTTCACTAAGCCTGAAGTCGGAGGCAGGCCTCTTACACCCACCACCTCTGGTCCGAGGACCAGCAGGGCTCTCGGAAGGAATCTTCCACCCCACTCCCTTCCCCTCTCTACTCTGACCCTTTCGTACCTTCAAATGGGCAGGACGGTGGTTGATTCAAGATGTTTTTAGCCAAGTTCTTTGCGAATCCACCAGGGGGGTCTGTTTCATTACTCCTTTTGATGGGGTGAACAAAAATAGGTTTACAGTTGTGAGTATTTGAAACACAGAATTTATTCTTGTATTATTATTTATTAATTATTGTATTATTTTTTATTATCATTATTAACCGACTTTTGCCCACCCCTGTATTGATTCATGCCTCCCAAACAGGAAGAATTTAGGTTTGAAGCTTCGTCTTTATAAAAAATCAACCTGTAAAAAGCAAGCAAAACTTTCATGGAATGAAAGCTTCCTCTACTTGACTTCAGAAACCAGGGCTGCCTCTCCATTCAGACCTGTTCAGATCCTGATTCCACTGAGCAAGCAGAGCTAAATTCTAGGCCCTTCTTTCTCAGTGCACTTCCCGCGGATGCCAGTATACTGAGAGAGCTGGACTCAAAGGAGGAAACTGTGTTCTTTCTCCTGACTCTGTCAGGCTTATCCTATGACTTTAGTCACTCTCAGATAATAAGTCCCTGTGTTACTTTCAGGCCCAAGAGTGGTCTTCGAGTAGTTGAAATTCCAGTCCAGTGCCACAATGATGTAACAGCTTTCTCTCATCTATTTGAAAGTTTCTCAGCACGACTTCATTGATTAAAAAAAAAAAATCAAACCACATAGAAGGGTTTATAAAATAGTGGTCACCTGCCACACTCATCTCCCCACCCTCAATCAGAGGGAGTCATAATAAACTCTTGTTTGGTTTTTTATTTTGAAAAGTTTTTTTAAAAATATCTTTGATTTTAGAGAGAAAGGAAGGAAGAGGGAGAGGGAGAGAGACATTGATGTGAGAGAAACATCAATTGGTTGCCTCCCACACAGACCCCAACCGGGGATTGAATTTGCAACCTGGGTATATGCCCTGGCAGGGAATTAAACCAACAACCTTTCAGTGCACGGGGTGACATTTACCCAGCTGAGCCACACTGGCCAGGGCAACTCTTGTTTAGTTTTGTATTGAGGTGGTAAGTTTTCGTTGTGGACAAATTAACTTCGACCCTGCCTTCTCAGTTGGTACTCAAGTTCTACCACCTGGTGATGTTAATATTTTAAAGAAATGCAGGTGATTCTTTGCCCCCCTCACCTGGTCCTTGCTCCCCTGATGATCTTGAGACAGCAGGTAGGTAAGGCCTGTATGAAGCACCAGAAGTCCAAGTTTGCTGGATGCTTCTTTTTGAAAGGCCACTCATTTAAAAACTTTTAAAAAACAGGAGTGATGGTTTGTCACAGTGACACTCACTTTTCTCTAGTGACTTTGTAGACCTGCTGGGCAAGTCTGTCTCATGGGAGCAATACTCCTGTGCCTTTTGTATACAAAGAATCGACTCAGGACAGCTGGTGCTACCTAACTCTCGTCTTAGGACCCACGACAGCTGACCCTCTTTGCTCTCTCAGCCATGTCTTCCAGGGAAGCTCTTCAAGTCCAGTGACCCTAGGGACAGAAACCCCACTATTGGGTGTCCTTCCCATAGCCCACAGGGAACTTGCTAGTGTATGCGCAGCGTCTTATAGGTTATTACCACTCCCTCCTCTCGCTCCTGGGCTACTTAAGTGCCCCTAACTGGTCTGTTTTCACTCACCCTCCCTCCTCTTCTAGAAGGCTCTCCACATGGAGGCTAATGCGTGCTGTTTATCAATCTACGGCCTCAGCCTCAAGTACCTGGTGCGTTGCTGGGTCCTTCAAATGCTTCCTT